TGGTCTGATTCTATGTGTCTTAAACGTAATCCTTCTAAGTTTGAATTAATTTGTTTTAATAAATCTAAACACTCAAGTACTATTCCTCCTATTATCTTACCTGATTCTAAAACTCTTGATGTCTCTCATAAGTTTCGCAGTCTAGGTTTTATCTTTGATTCTACTATGTCTCTCTCTTCTCAGATTAATAGTGTTGCTAGAAGTTCTTACTTTCATCTACGTAGAATAAAAAAACTTTTGCCTTTTCTTGATGATCCTACTCTTCTCCTTCTTGTTACTTCGTTAGTCTTATCTAGGATTGATTATTGTAACTCGCTCTACTATGGTCTTCCTGACTCTATACTCTATCCTTTAAGTAAAGCTTTTAACTCTGCTGCTCGTCTAGTTGCTCGTGCCCCTTTCTTTTCTCATATATCTCCATATCTTGTTCTCTTGCACTGGCTACCTATAAAATATAGAATAATTTTTAAAATTTGCATGTTCATGTATAAGTCTCAATCTAAATTATTTCCTAAGTACTTATCAGATATATTAATTGACCCTAAACGCCCCGGTTTACGATCGTCTTCTTCTTCTCGCTTTTTCTTAACTCGTGTTAAACACTCTTTTGCCAAATCTGCTTTTGCTTTTTCTGGTCCTTTTCTCTGGAACTCTCTACCTACTTCTCTAACATCGCGGAAATAGCGCTTTATAAGCTAATTGATTGATTGATTGATTGATTGATCTTGTGGTCTGTTCTATGGACCCAACCTCAAACGATCTGTGAACGATTTCAAGTTTTTTTTAAACAGCACAGTGTTTTGAAAAATGTTAAAAATCTTCAAAGAGGTTTTCGTTCATACTTCTGAAAGGCGTTCAAACTGAATAATATTTATAATACAGTTATGTTAATGATATTGCTATATCGTTGGTTTGTCGATGCCATTTTGGCCTCAATTGCTCAAGAAAATAAATCTGTTTAAAATTCGAAGACCGAAATTGAACGCAAACAGTAAACAATGTCGTCTTAGCGTTTCCATCTCTGTACGATATTTTATGATCAAAGATGCAATAAGATGTCGTCTCAATGAATTTCTTGTTTGCAGTTGCGACTAACTGTTGAATTTTCGGTTTACGAGTCTACGCTTTTGAAATTACTTCTGCGGATTGAGCAGCAAAGTATTTGGAGATTCATCATCATCAACCAACCAAAACCAACAAATCAAAAATGGCCTCGAGCTCATTAAGTCAGGAAAGTTTGGACCACGACCCTAGTGTACTCACTCGCAGAATTAAAGTTAAAATTGCAAATAGGAACAGATCAACTTTCAGCAAACATGAATCTATTGAAACTACTGATGACCACGAATTGGTGGATGTGAAAGTTGAAGACCTGATAGCTGGGGAGCACATGTTAAGCATGAGCCCAGGCTCTCTATTTTATGACCATGAATCACCAAACAGAGCTGTCAAGTTGAAAGACAAAAGGTGGCCTGGTCATCTGCATAAAAACAAACCCATATTGAAAGATAAGAGAAAACTTAGAGAGAAAAGAAGAAGTTCTGGTGTTGTTCATGTTCAGTCAACTGAGGTTTTGTTTTTTTCTTAACTTAATATTAATATGTAGAAAACTAATTATTTAATTATTAATTTGTTCTATTTGATATAAATAAAAATGTTATTGTTACTTTATAATTTTAAGAGTTCTGCGGATTCATTTGACGAATCAGAGCCAGCGCCGATAAGCAGGGACAATCCAGCACAAACAACGCAAGCAGTGCAACCTGCTGTCACTTCTACGCTGGCTGCTTGTGACAGCAGTGACTCGCAAAAGTTCCTGGCTGGAATGATGCATAATGAAATTATTGATGCTGATAACCCCCAGACTCCGGAAGAGGTTTGTCGTCGCTGTAACGTTATAGGCACCACACACTTAATGTTTTGTTTGGTTTGATATAGGATTTGTTATTACAAGTTAAAATTATTTCAGGATCGAAAAATGTTCAGTGGCAGGACTGTAAGAAATAAAAGGTTGTTCAATAGATTGATTAGTTCGTTTAATAAAACATTAAAATGGAAGTATTCTATTTATTTTTTTGTAATGTGTCATCTTTGTTATAGTCCATCGGATCTTGATGCAGACTTGGAAGACAACCAGGATTATGACAGCACTGTCAGTCAACCAGACGTTGGATGTTCGAGGACAAGCAGCTCCACTCGTTTCCCAACCCTTCCGGCATTTCCCCCATCATCTTCCTCCTCTCCATCTTCATCCAACTCGTCAGCCAGCTGCAACACAGGCATGTACAACACCTCTACCATCAGCACATCTGCTCTTCACCACACTGGTAGGTCGTCCACCAATTCTTCTGTACACATTATACTCATTATTTTGTATTGAGATATCTATAATAATTATAATAAATATAACAACAATGTCACAATCTCATTAATGCAGTAATTATTTTAACATTTAGTATAGGCTACTATTATTGATATATTGTATGCTGCAGTTACACCATTCATTTGGATCATGCCATTTATAAACAATTACAGATGATTGTAAATGATTATACATGGTTAAAACTGATTATAAATGATTATGCATGGTTACAACTGATTATAAATGATTATGCATGGCTACAACTGATTATAAATGATTATACATGGTTACAACTGATTATAAATGTTTATACATGGCTACAACTGATTATAAATGTTTATACATAATTACATTAATTTTCAAAGAAGCGTGTTCATTGATTCGCGGAGGCAAGCCAGACAGCACTGTTGTTCACTTTGCTGCAACTGACACAACTGTTGAAGAGGTTCACATTGTTTTATATTAGTTTTATTAAAAGCATCATTGCGTTTGAAATGACATTTGAATTTGAATCATATTGTTTATCAACTATGTGATGTTGTTGTTGTTACTGATTATTTGTATATAATTAAAAATAATTTGTATATAATTAAAAATTATTTGTATATAATTAAAAATTATTTGTATATAATTAAAAATTATTTGGATATAGTTACAAATTGTGTGGCTTTAACTAAGAATTATTTGGATATAATTAAGAATTATTATATTATAATTGTGTCCTGGTTATGACATTAAACTGACCCTCACTGCCTTGTGAGTGATGTTGGATCATCAAAGGCTAGGCCCACCGCTTATAACTGTGGTTGCGTAAGGAAGGGCGTCCTGTGTAAAAACTAGCCAAATAATAAATGCTTATGATGATGACGGAGAAAACAATGGCCCTCAGTATCCGGCAGAAGAGGGTGCGAAGAATCTCCGGAGACCCAGTCGATGGGGTTGTGGTGCAAGGCCCTGTGGATGGTCTGGCTACTGGCACCCCACTCTATAGTGTGGCGGTGCAAGGCACTATAGATGGAGGGACTACTTGTAGACCAAGGGGTTGGAGGTTTGGTACCTGGAATGTAGGCACGTTGACAGGAAGAAGTTTGGAAGTGGTGGAGGAGCTGCAGAGGAGAATGGTTGACGTGGCTGCATTACAGGAGGTCAGATGGAAGGGTGAGGGTACAAGGTTTGTGGGGGCTAAAGGTGGAAGATATAAGTTGTGGTGGAAGGGGGATGATGGTACGGGAGGAGTTGGTGTGATGGTAAGAGAAGAGTTGTTGGAGCAGGTGTTGGAAGTGAGGCGGAGAAGCAATGGGGTAATTGTGGTGGTGATGGTGTTTGGAAAAGTAATAGTGAGGGTGATATCAGGATATGCTCCGCAACAAAGTAGGAAGGAAGAGGAGAAGGATAGGTTTTTGATGATGT